TCTTTCTATATTTCAAACAAATAGTGAATGACATTTATAGACATAGACATTGTACATTCATATAAACTTATCTGAAAACTGAAAAGTAGACAAACTTTCTACATTTTGTCATGTTATATCTGTTATCATTACATAGATTTTATATATATCTATAGATATTACAAGAACATTTTCTGTTCCAAACACAAATATTCTTATTATTGATACAATGAAACAGAGACCCTAAAACCTAATACTGCCTTTTTGTGACACTAGTTTTATGTTGATAATCTTATAATTTGTACACCAAGTTAGATATTAAAATGTTGATTCATAACTTCATTTACAACAAAAATATATCATCAATTGACAATTACCTCATATAATAAAGGATAAAAATACATGTCAATACAGACAAAACATATGTCTACCTCATATAGAAAAAAGCCCAGAAATCATACAAAGGGAGCTCTAAATTAATTAATTAATTAATTCTAAAATTAATCTTTCAAATTTACTTATTAAGTTTGCTGAGCAGAAAGTATTTTAGCAATTACATTCCTTCCATTTCTTTTGCCAAGATATAAAACTGACCTTCCAAAACATTAACTTAGAAAAGAAAAGAGTTTGTTTTGCCTTATACTTCCAGAGGACAGAGTTTGTCATAATGGTGAAGGCATTGTACCAGGAGTATGAGGCTCACCCAACCAGGCAATGGGGAGGCAGCCAGACCATATTTAGTATTCACACAGGAAGCTGAGAGAGAAAACAGGAAGTGGGGGGCCAAGCTAAACTAACTCAAATCCACCTAGAGTGACTTACTTCTTCTAGAAGCCTCTACCTCCTAAAGGACTCCAAAGTATTCAGACACAGACACACACACACACACACACACACACACACACACACTTTCAATCACCAAAAATAGCAATTTTAACAATATTTTCGAAACTAAGTGCAGAAATGAAGTGGCTAGAATGTTGTTTGTTTTTCCAGGAACTCTGGGGGAGGATTGTTTCACCCTAAGTATCTTAGAAATCAACTTGAGTTTACAAAATCTAATCTGCTATAATTCAGGGGGTACAAAAATAGAAAAAAAAAACAGTATTTTCTATGGTTACACAAACATCAATTTTGATTTCCTAAATGTGCTCGTGAATGGATGTTCCTATAAAGAACTTTCCTCAACATCTTCTGCAAGGCTGATTAACTGATTAGAACTGTAATGACTGTGCAGAGGTTGAAGTGCTTCAGGCCCAGGGCCAGATGCAGATTATCTTTAGAGTCCTTATTAGTCACTAACTGACCTTTGTATATGACCTAAAGTGTAAACTTTGGGATGTATTAATTGAGCAGAGGACTGAATTGCACCAACTAAAAGACTGAGATTATCATCAGAGGGTAACAGCCTCAGAGATTTCTGAGGGGGTCCATCAATGTATGTGAAGAATCCCATGATTTATGACTTCTCTTACTATAACACTTCATGAAATTGTTACCATATTGGAACATGGAATTTAGGGTTAACTCAATCTGTGTTCTTAGGTCATGCTTACTTTACTTATATCCAGAATAAAGTAGATTGCTGTGGGATGTCTTTCTGCATGCTGTGAATATGTGTGGCTCCCATTGGACAATAAATAAAGCTGCATTGGCCTATGGCAGGGCAGGATGGAGCCAGGTAGGAAAGTCCAAAAGTGATAATGAGAGAAGGGTGGAGTTGAGGAGATACCAGCCCACTGCCAAAGGAGCAACAAGATGTCATCAGGCTGGTAATGCCATAGCCATGTGGCAACATATAGATTAATAGGAATGAGTCAATTTAGATGGATGAGCTAGCTAGCAAGAAGTTGAAGCCATAGACCATACAATTTGTAGTTAATATAAGCCTCTGAGTGATTATTTTGTAAGCAGCTATGGGACCGTGGGGCCAGGTGGGACCAGAGAAACTTTCAACTACAGTAGATCTTATTCTTTATGGTGAAATTTGTGTTTTGTGTCAACAGTTATGGTGCCCAAATGTGGAACCCTTCAAAATAAACCACTTTCACTGGATGAGACAGGTAGCAATATGTATTCCCTCTATCCAAACTGCTTCAAGGTGGAATTTGGTGAATACTTTCTGAGGCTCCAATCTCCCTTGATTTGGTCAACAGTCAAAGAAATGTAACTATTTTTACACTCATAACTCACCTATCATCCCCCGACTTTGTCTCATCATTCTTTATCTTCAAGTGGAGCAAAATTTCTTTTCCAAAGAGAAGATGCTTATGGCCTAGTTTAAGAAAAACAAAAACAAAAACCAGAGGACATCCCATGCTATGCTTAAAATTCATAAAGGCTACTTCCCACTGGAGATTTCTCTCTCTCTCACCTCCATTTGGATGTTTTAGTCTCCCTTTGAGGAGTTTTCTTTTTCTTAATCCTCTTGCATAAGCTTTCATTAAAAGATTTTTTTACTATACCACAAGCCTAAAATCCTGATTTGGCCATGAGTTGGGTCCTAGAAAGTCTAGGGGAACTCTCCAGGCTGCTGTAGATGACAATGTACAGCTATATCTCTATTCCAACCAAAGTTTGTAGGTACTCATGCCAGAATCCATCTTGAAGCATGTTTGGTGAGTTTGCCTGACCATCACTCACCTTATCTTTCTTGCTAAGCATGGCTCGCAAGTTACCTTGGGTTCCCATTTAGTATTGAAAAGTATCACTGGCATCAGAGACAGAAATCTAGACCCATCCAAACCCTAGATGAATAATATGTGACTTTTCTAGGAGATGTCTTCATAAAGGCTATGCTCCCAAATGCCCTGAGCCACTCTATATGGCCTACAAGAGAGAATCCTGAGACACAATGGGGGCAGCTTGAGAAAGCAGCACATTCTGGATTCAAATCACATTAGGATGGTGTCATCTCCCCTAAACTACTCAAGGGACTTTCTGCTTCTTTCCTGATCTTCATGTTCCCTGTTTTATGGAAGGTTAATTGCTTAGACAAAAGAGACTCTGCTTGCTTCCCCACCCCCATGATTTTCTGAGAAGGAGCTGACTTTTATAGGCCAAATAGGGGAAATAAGACTCAATGCCTTTTGATGTCTTAAGATGCTAAAACTCCAGCTGTCTTTAGACTTTGTACCAGATGTGTATTAGGATCTCATCATGGTGGGGAACTTAGCATGTGTCCCCCCAGATTATTGGTAGATGAAATCATTTCTGATCTATAAGGACACTAGGGATGTCTAGAGGGAAAAGTAGCCACCTAAACATTGGTGATGACCAAATGTCAGGTAAATATGGGACAGATCATCTTTATGTAGACCAGGATAAAATACAGGCAAGATTGGTACTAAGCAAGTAGCTGATAGTCAGTCCAGGATGCTATACTTTCATATAGTTCCCCTTCTTTCATTTAGATATGCAAGCAGGCATAGGAAATGTAGTTTAGTCCCACCACAAATTAAAAGAGAATTTTTTAAACTGAAATAACATTGAGTGTGGTCGTTTTATCTGTAAATACATTTCATGCTCAGATAGTTAGCTCTAATAGAAAAGGATATTGTCTTAAGTCCACATGATAAACTTGACCTTTTCATCATTTTACTCAGCCTTCTTCATATCATAAAGAGATAGGGATATATAAGCTTTCTACTTGATTATTATACTGAGCACAGCTGGATTGCATTTAACTGTGTCTAGGTTGTCTCTGATAATTATTTCCACATGCTGTTTTGTGTCCCACACAAATACTAATTGACAAATCTTGTGATCACTTTAATTTTTTATTTATTTGCATTGTGTACTGATAGATATTTGTGTGTATATATAATCATATATATATATATGTAGGATGTTAAAATGCACAAGTACATTTATAAATGTGGATGTTTTGGTTATTTATTAAAAGGCTTGATAAATATATACTGCCTTATACAGCTAGGCTAAGTTCTTAAAACTTATTAAAATGGTATTTGGGGGTCTAGTAAATGTTTTATAAAAACCCTAAAATATTGTTTGTATAAAACACCATTCATCAGAATTATACGACTAATGTTTCATTAAGCTATAAGATTTAATGTTATGCACATAGATTTTGACAAAGATTTTCTTCCAAACAGATTCTAATGAAAAAAAAATTGATTAAAATTTTATTTCAATTAGGTAATAGTTATGGGAAAAATAAGGATTATATGACATAAAATGCTTTATGTTAATCAAAATGCCTCTTAGAAATGCATTTTTTAAATCTTTATTAAAATGAATTGTTTCCAAAAATATTCTTAATATATAAATGAAAAAGCTAAGACTTTTACTGAGCTGTAATACATGTAAAAAGGACATATTTCTTTTCAAAAATCTTTTGATTTTAAAATTTTTCTTTTCATGATTAGGATTTCAGAAGGGAGATAGAGTCCCAACAAAAGGTTCCATTCAAAACCTAAGTATTTCAAAGTTCTTATCTCTCCCATTTAAAGTAAAAGAAAAAACATTATTTTAAAACCACGCTACTGACTGCTCAACCTGATTAAAGCCTCATTACTGCTCAGGCTGGGTTCTGGGTCTTTAAAAATCAAGTTTCTGCTTAATATTCCCTCACAACTGTGAGTATAAACTTGCAATTAGTAATTGCTTAAAGCTCAAAAAAGAAAAGAAACAACAGGCCAAATGGTGCAACTGTAAAACTGGGAAGTTACAGATGTAAGTAGAAGCTCCAAAATCAGATTGGACAACCAAGAACCCACCTTCAGTTACAGCTATGTGCATCTACGTACTGCCTATGGGTGCTTAGGTTTTCTATCACGTACATAGTGCCAAAGTAGTTTATAAGTAAGTGTAAGTTATAATTACCAAATTAAACCCAAATTCTTCTTAGTTCGTAATGTAACTGGAGTTTGAAGGTTTATGTAGTTAAGCTTATGAAGGGGCAGGGCAGAGAGCTCTGAGCTTCCTCTTGGGGGTTGGGTCCTGGGGTAACAGGAAGGAGTGGCTAAGACCTCTGTTTAGAGAGAGGGGTGGGGCTCTGAGGACATGGTGTCTGTGCTGTCTGGGTCAAAGGGTATCAGAGGGAAACGGAGGGGTGTGGTGCAGAGGGGACAGGAATAGATTTAGCCAAGAGCCCTGTAAGTCTAGGAGCCCTGAGCCTCAGCTCAGACCCTCAGTCCTCTGGAGTCTGCTCGAATACCAGCCATGCTCGCCGCCGCGGGCTCCCTGGTGGCCGCCATCTGGGCAGCGCTCCATGTCCGGACTGTGCTGCTGGCTGCTGTCGTCTTCTTGTTTCTGTCTGACTACTTCAGAAGCCGGCGCCCCAAGAACTTCCCTCCAGGGCCGCGATGCCTGCCCTTCGTGGGCAACATATTCCAGATGAACTTTAAGCAGCCCCACCTGGCGGTCCAACAGGTAGGAAGGGAGGAGGGTGCCTGGCTCTGTCCTGACCTAATCCTGAACTGCTGGATCTGCGACTTCCGGGACTGCGTGGAGGTGGGCGGGGCTCTAAAGCTCTTGCTCACAGTGGCTAACCCCAGGCCAAAGAGTTAGTTAGCTTCTGTGAGTGCTCATTTAAGAAATACATAGCTAGCCATTCTGACAGGCTTAAGGTGGTATCTCAGAGCTGTTTTGATTTGCATTTCCCTGATGTTTAGGGATGTTGAGCAATTCCTTAAATGTCTTTCAGCCATTTGAGTTTCCTCTGTTGAGAATTCTCTGTTTAGTTCTGTAGCCCATTTCTTAATTGGACTGTTGGTCGTTTTGATGTCTAATTTCTTGAGTTCCTTATATATTCTGGATATCAGTCCTCT